ATATTCCAGTTATGACTATCGTACAATTGTATACTGGACCATGTGGAATTTTTACTGGGATGGTTTGAAATGTTTGGCCTACATGACTTTACCTCGGACGATATTGGTACATGTTGGGGAAGAGGTTTTTTTTCATTCTGTAAGTTTCCATGTACATAGCATGCATGCCATCACCTTCTCTTACACAATGTCTTGATTAAATCTATTGTCCATTATCATTAAAGAGATATCAGTCTGAACTCGTACTTCGGAATGTAGCTGCATCTTATGATTTGTTGCAGACTAATTAATTTGATTTAACATTAATTTTTTAGCAAAGTCGAGACAGATCTGCTATGTGTCTTTAATACATAATAACAGACAAACAAACAAACAACCCCTTCTAAAATTAAAATATAAAAAATATAGAGAGAGAGAGAGAAGAGAGAGAGAGAGAGAGAGAGAGAGAGAGAGAGAGAGAGAGAGAGAGAGAGAGAGAGAGAGAGAGAGAAAGATATAAATATATATATCCAAATTTGGTAGCCTAATGGCTCTAATAGCTCATCCCCTGATTGTTTTTTTTTGCTCTCCAATGATACCTTTAGTATTTGAATATCTGTCGTCTTGGATGACGAGCACCACTGGCGCAGTGGCGTGGGCCCAACCATAAGGGAGGGTTGGGGTGGGGATAGAGGGGGGGGGGGGGGGGGGGGGAGGGGCACTGACAATATTAGGCGATGAATGCGAGAGAACTTGGCTTGAACTGAAAAACGGCATTGGATGCATGGGTAGTATTTATTCACATGTGGTTTTTTCCTTTGTTTCCCCTCATCTTTATATAAATCCCATCTTTTGCAAATGTGAAATGTTATATATGGCATGTTTTTTTATATTTTGTATTTGTTTATCTGTTTATTTGTTATACGTATGTATGTATGTATTGTTAATGTCTGGGTCAAAATATAACTCTATGCTCTTTTTTGTTGACCCCTCATTCTCTTAATTTGTTACCATTCTAATTTCTCTGTATTGATTTATATTGAAATTATTCTGTTGTGTATCATACTGTATGTATTTTGCTTTTATTGAGAATGAATAAAGACTGAACTGCATGTCTCTCTGTCTCTCTCTGTCTCTCTGTCTCTGTCTGTTTCTCCATCTCTCTCTCTCTCTCTCTCTCTCTCTCTCTCTCTTTCTCTCTCTCACTCTCTCTCTCTCTCTCTCTCTCTCTCTCTCTCTCTCTCTCTCTCTCTCAACATGTGTGCGTTTAGGGAGGGGGGGGGCAACATCGTTTTGAAATGAATGACCTCCACATAAATATTAGTTGCCTAAATAAACACCGTCGGGCATTATGTTGCATGTGCTAATTTGTGAGGTGAGCTCCATAGGGAAGAAACAACATCATATGTAATTCACGCTTGTCATGTTTTTCCTTTGTTTTTATTTGATTTGTTAATTATTCATATGTTTTGTTATCTTTTGTTACCGATTTTTGTTTAGAATTATAACTTGTATATTTTAGAATGTTAGAATGTTAGAGACGTTCATTCATTGGCAAATCTAGTTTTCTTTACTGCCACGTCATTCAAAAACAAGATAATAAATTGAGTAGTACAGTAACGATGCTGGGTACAATTTTTAAAATTTAGATTAGTATACGAAACATAGAATTGATCAAGGTAAAACATTTTATGTAAATCTACATTGACACTTAACTATTTTATTTGCATTGTTGCGGGATGAAAATACCTGTACACAGCACAATAAAGACATTATTGCTTGTGCTAAGCACGCCAGGTGCATTGACACAAGGGGGTGGTGAATTATGATCAAGTATGATTTTGAAAGACACTGGACCATATCATATTCATGAGTCATCTCATAATCAGGTGACAGCGATATTGTGAGTACCGTATCATTGAAAAGCAAAATTAATCCATTCTCTTAACATGAAATAATGTGAAGAATTAATACTTATAAAAGCGGTATAAATCTTCTTTTCATATCAATTTGGACACCAAAGCATGAATTTTTCTTTTAGTAACCTGCATAATATTCTTCAACACTGGGCCTAATGAAAGGAGTCAACATGAGGGGTGGATATGTGCGTATTATATATGTTGTTATTATTATTATATTATTATTTGGTAAACACTAACTACATTATTTTTTTTGGATTCATTCTAGCATTCAGTATGCACATGCAACTTGTCCTTATTGAAAGACAAGAAGATCATAGGCCTATACAGTACATGCCTTGAGCAACATAATTAATGTAGTCCTGTCTGAAAATGATCTTTCAATTCGGTTTGTAAAACATATTACTAAGCGATGCGAATGTAAACCAGTAAAACAAAAAAATGTGAAAAAGTAGGATGGCGCATATTTACCAAAGATTGAGCAAGAAAGAGAGAGACAGAGAGAGCGAGAGAGAGACTGTTTTTTACGAGATCAATAACTCAGGAAATGTCGAGCCAACCTTTAAAGAGTTGACAAGAATCTAGGGCAGCGAAGGCATTTAATATGTCTTCAGGATTTTTCTTCTTCTTCACATTTCCAGCCTTGCTGTAAAGAAAGAAGACCAAAAAAAAAAAAAAAAAAAAAGACAGAAGGTTGTTATTTTGAAGGATGTGCGCGCAATAATATTGTCCAGAGACCCGACTCGTTATACAACCTTGTAATTCGGTCGAATTCAAGCCAGCTTATGTAGATTAGATTGGTCTGAGGTTCAATATTTTCCATTTGGAATTTGAAGCGGCGTAGCATGGACATATTGAAGGGGGGGGGGTGGCACTGGTGTCATGAGAAGGGGGCACTGGTCTAAACTTGGTGGATGGCATGCACGAAAACCTCGAGTGCATGGGGAGAGAGTGAAAAGAGGGCGTGTCGTATCCTGTACACGTTGCCTTCACTGCTCCTCTTCGTTCTTTCCACCACCCTATTTCTCCCCCCCCCCCGTTTTTTTTTGAAATTTACTCACCATTTGGTCGGAAAGGCACATGCCCCGTGTCCCTGTAGCTGAAAATGTATATCGCACATGTATTAAACAATAATACGGAACAGGGCATTCGAAATCGGATAGGCAAATTTGTGCCACTTTTACATGCCTTTGAAATAAAAATAAAATATTTTTACTTTGCCAAATTAATTTTGTCTAATTTCAATTCCACATTTTGAATCCGTTGTCTACGCGAGGTCATGAATAACCCATATTAAACATGATACATCAGAAATACCGAAGGATTATTTTGGGGCAACTTTTCAATGATTTAATAGTGAATTATTGTGCCATATAGGAGTTTCGTTAAACGAACTGAATTTGCAATAGGCGATTTTTTTTCTTCATGAAAGGATATTTAGATGACATCAGCTGGATGAAATGACTGACATATTAACAATGCTATTGACATTGACAGCGGTCGAGGATGTCATTTAGCGAAAATATCCTCCCCCTCAACCCTTGTATTCAACTCTAAATTAGTAAATCGAAATAACAATAAACAATATCACACATCCCTGTTTAATGTGTCATCAACCACCATTCGTTTCCTTTATACAAGTTAGGAAAAAATAGGAAGAATTGGGGGAGGGTATGGAAGAAATCTGATTACTTTCCACCCTTCCTTTATTTCTCTCTTTTTAACAGCTTTTAATCTTTGTTCGCCCTTCGATTGTGGGGCACATACCCCATGTGCCTTGTAGCTACGCTATCAAAGCAGAGCTGCCAACCTTGTGCGACCAAAAAAGGAATCATGAAGGCAAACAAAAGGAATTCATTAAAACGAAACTTACATTCACGCGCGACACACTTCAAATGCAGAAATGTCCATTCCTTATGCTGTTTTTTCTTCCATACAAGCAGGTATTTTTTAATTTTTTAATTTTGGTATTATCAGTACCGGTATTTTATTCTTTTTGATAATATCTTTCTCTTCAAGTATGTATTCAAGTATGCTTTAAACTTAGTTTTCTAATTGAATTTGTGATCAAATCAACATTTCAGGGCAGTTGTTTGATGTGCGGTATGTAAAAAAAAAAAAAAAAAAAAAAAAAAAAAAAAAAAACGGAATTTATGAAGAAAAAACGTAATACCGTAATTTGGAGGAAAAAACGGAGTAATTCCGGCAAAAACGGAATGGTTGGCAGCTCTGTCAAAGGTATCACCGATGATGCTCGTTTCGAAATATTTTGGCATGGGAGATTCCTGAAACTACGTGTATTTATACAATCGGGGGGGGGGGGGGTTGACATGTCCCAAACGTTTTAAGATGATTACCTAATAATTGCTATTAGTTTGTTAGATTGTGTTTAATCATTGCATTTAGACTGCATGGTTGTCTAATATTAACAGACTTCCAATAAAATTAGTCCTTGTTTTCACGAAGTGACGGTAGTGAGGAAAATCGTAACGCAAAGTGAATGCAATTTTTTTTCACTACCGTCACTTCGTGAAAACAGCGACGAATATGTTCTCGGTCATGCAACCTGAAATATGAATTACCATGGAGATTGGATTTGAGTATTTCCATTGCCCTCGTCCACCCTTACAACACACTCAACCATTGTCACCAATGTCTGATGTAATAATAGTCAACAGTGGGACAGCATATAGTATGGGTCCAGTCATCGAGGGGGGTAATGGGCGTCATGGGGTGGGGGCAGTTATCAGGGGTCACAAGAAAGAACAAGACAGCTAAGCTAAGTACAGGCGAGTGATACATCTTCAGTTTCTCATCTTTCTTGTCACCTCTCTTCTACACACCCCCCCCCCCCGACCATTCAATAGCACTCTGGATACATATTTTGTCAACCCCCTCCCCCAATTGAATAAAGGTAACCTTTGACAGATCTATCTTTCATAAGGCGGCATACACTACTCTCTCATCAAATCTACTGTCATATTCTCTCTCAAAGTAACGTGACCCGCACGAACAGACTTCACTCCCGCCAAAACCGCTCCAACTCCAATCCCCTCTTCGTTGCACCCACAGAGAAATCAAAACATTGTCACAAAATAACCGTTCGTTTTTCTCATATTTTAATTACATTTCACCACCTTCTTCCGTCTTCCTGCATTTATTTCTTTAACTGTACAAAATAGAATAGACAGGAATCAAGATTGCTTTTAAAGTGTTCACACTTACAAGCACTTATCCATGATGACTTCACATTCTGAGTCTTGTTTATACAAAATAATTTCTTTTTACACATACACGTTTTTTTTAAACCAGACTTTGCATCCCTTAAATCATATTGAACTGACAAGTACAAATCACTACTAGTACTTTGTCCTGTATTAAAATTTGTTCGTATAAAGCGTTGAACTGATAGCTAACGAATAACATAGAGAAAACTTTATTTACTGAGCTGCTTGAAGCAAGTGTTAGTATCTCTCTACCTACCCCCAAATCGTTTACTCTCCATCGCTTCACGGGAGTCACAGACTGAGGTATAAAGACTTTACATTATCACAACTACTACTCTTTCAAACAGACTAACAGTTTGTGTGAAAGTCCCCTCATTTTGTCCCATGACATACACATAATCTCTGGTATATTGCATTATACCAATCAACATAACATAAACATGTACACCGCTTAATCTTTAAAAAAAGACCACACAAAATATATCTTACACATAATACAGATTTAACTTTGCTCTTTAAAAATATATACTCTAAGAATATACACATTGACTACTGTTGTATATGAATTTACAATGGTTTATCAAAAGAGAAATGCATTGTGACTATGTTCTTTTTGTATCTCTTGACACTCAACACCAGTGTTGAGAATATAAATTTGTCTTCTTAAACTTTTAGTTTCTTGCTTGTATCAAAATAGCTTTGTTACCTTGATTTTATGTAGCTCATTTCCTTTTTTTCACTTGGAATCATACTACTGGAATAGTTTCTGAATGCCAACTTCCTTTTCCTCATCATCCAGACTACCGAAGTCATAAAACAACAAAGTAATTTGAGTAAAATGGTTTAAAAAAACAAAAAACACATAAGACTGTGGTGGAATGCTATGAAATTATATCGTTCTACTATCAGAAAAAGAGAGAATGATCTAATAAAATAATATCTCCTGGAATATTGCTGAATATTTTGATTTCATGGCACATACCAGTTCGAATCAAACAAATTAAAGGTCTTTCTTGAACCAATTCATAACAATACTTCACTTCTAGCTCTTTTACTAGGTGCATCTATCTGTTAATGGAGGGAGAAACCAATGATATTTGATCTTTCAATTGATTGTAACACTTTGTTCAAGAAAACTATCGTAACATTACACATGTTCATTGATTCATCCAATTTTGTAAACTCAGTGAAAATAATTTGGCAACGTTTTTATCAATCTTTAGATGATGAACCTGTGCATGGCAAACCCTAGTACAAGTAAATCATGAGATATTTGGTTTATATTTCCAGAAATTTAAACTTTCCCCTTGCATACTTAAGGGGAAACCTTCACATGTATCCCCAAATCAATGCTTAATCATGGAGAAGCATCTGTTTACAGTATTGTAGTGTTTCTTGTTCAAGTAACATTGTTGATCTTGTCCAAGAGACCTACTGTGCTAAACCTTGCCAAGCTGCATTGCATGGTTACGGATTTTAAAAAAATTATTAAAAGAATGTTTGGTTATCTTTGTTAAAACTTTAAAAAAAAATAAAGAGTACAAATATGTGAACCAAACCTTAGAAACAACTTTAAAAACACTACCTTCAAACCTCATCTCATGTATAAACCCTGAATACTTTGAATAGTACACATCTTTCACTCGTATCTGTAATGCATAGTAAAAATATAAACTTCAGTAAGTGTTAAGTAGATTATATCAAGAGCATTGTATTAGATCATGTAAGAAGCATGAATCCATTTGAATACATTCCTCTTTTTGATTTTACTTGTTGCATAATAATATATAACTTACTTCCACATGAACTGTTGAGTGAGAAATGTACAAATTTACAAAAATATGAATTAGAAAATTACTCTTTATTTTATCTTATAGCGTGAACGCCCATTTAGTCCACATTCAATTGAGTTTGTTTTTTGTAATCTCTTATACTGATGAGCAGTTTATATAGCGTGCATCAAGGGAAACCACCTAAATACAAACATTCACTAAATGTGTTCAATCGGGTATTTCTTCCAAAAATAATGGTTATGGTCCATATAATTCACCTTGCATGTGTAATTATACCAACTCTATGGTTGGAATCAATCTTGCATATACTAGAAGTTGTTATGTTGGACTAGCCTTGTACATCATCAAGAACAACTTCTGTTCAATAATTTTGCATCTATTGGAATACATTTTTTAATGGTTTATCCACAGATTAAGACTAATCCATTATGTTTGAAATTTGAGTTGCAACTGATTTCCCTTCATTTCACTAAAATAATATTTCAAAAAAAATACAAAAGTTTTTTTTCCCAATTATTCAAAAATCATTGCAAGTTTAACTTAACTTTTTTTTTTCTTCTGGCCATTCCCATTCTTTATACTTTGATGAAATTTCATTTTGATCGAGGCACATAGGGATTCTAAATATCAGATTAATACAAAAATCCTATCCAATAAATATATACTGTACAATTAACAAAATATCAAGACATTTCAATTCTACACTCCTATCTAAACATAGAAAATAGCTTGTATCTCTATGCACACCCTGATCATGTCAAACACTCAATATGCAAAATATCCTCATTTTTTAGGCGTGAAAGTCAATCTTCCAGACTCACACCTGGAATGACTGGAGCTAAATCTGACCTAAAGTCCTAAACAGTACCCTCTCCAAGCTCCATTTTCCCTCCTAAAATGTATCTTTGCAGAAAAACCTGATATTTCTGTAGATGTTAATTGAATAAAAGCACTTTAAAAAGTGATTAATCTGACCTTGCATACATTACTTCATAACTTAAATCGTAAATACTCAAACATGTGAATACATTCTTAGCTTCTATGATTTGGATGGACGTATCATATTTACCTCTTTTCAGATACCATCAGCCTTAGAGGTATGACATTACATATAGCCGAGTCCTGTTCTTTATTTATACACCATGTTTTCACCAAATGTTTTGACAATGTACGCCTAAATGATTCATATGTATATTCATGCAGAAATGTTCTCTCAACATATTCTTCATAAAACATAGGCAGGGCTTGAAACCAAAAGGGGTCCGTCCATGCACATGAGCTCTAGAATTTAAACACCGAAACCCATCTTTTGAAATTTGAATAGGGTACCATGCATACCCCCCCCCCCCCATGTTTAAACAAAAGAAGTTAGTGAGTAGCCCTGTATAAGTAATGAAACATTGTGTAAATAAAGAGTATATTGAAACCTCTGCCCACCATGTTTGAAAGAATGCGGCTATTGGCCACTTCCAAAAAAAAAATTCAGAATCGAAACGAGACTGAAATTGTTGAGTTGTTTGCCACCTTTCCTGCAAAGTAAAGTATTCACTAAGATTACATGAACACCTATCATTCTGAACAACAGCATGATATGTCTTCTGAATTATATACAACAGAAATTACTCCCTTCGGTCGTTAGTCAGAACTTTATAATTCATAACATATTCACAATATAACAATTAAGTCCGAACCAAAGCATGTTCATAGTACCTGATTGAGGGAGAAAACATTAAATGGCAAGAGGTATTTCAAATTTGTTTTTATCATACAAACATAAATTGTTAAGTAACATTTTTTGCGGAGTTATCATCAGAGTACAACAAAAAATAACTAAGCAACAAACATACAAACTGTACTTGTCAAGTGCTACATAATCTTGGAGATAATGTCAGCCATTTTAGAACCATTGCAAGAGGCAGAGAACATAATGCCAGTAATTACACCCTCGACATGACCTAACAAGCGTGCTTCACAGAAGAAGCAGAAATATAGCATATTGTGTTGAATCATGTTTTTCTTTTAAAGAAGATTTTAAAAAGTTGATGATAAGAGAAGTAAAATATCTTCTAGATGTAGCTATTTGATTTGTTGCAACATGGAAGTCTACATAAAATCTCCAATAAAACTTCCAATACTGCCATTATAAAATTATATCTTCATGAGCTAAAATTTCAGAATTTGTATTCTTTAAACTATAAGGGATTTTTAGGCAGGCATAAAATTGTAAGAATTACTGACACTATCAATTGCTTCTTCCACCTGCACTAAATGATTTATTACAAAGTGCTGTCATAGTATAGCTGGTACTATCTATAAGGCAATTATGCTATGCCTTGAGGGATATCTTTCATTTCCTATGTAGCCTCTCATAATTGTGTATTATGCGCTAAAAAGACTTTAGGTGGGGAAAAATAACACCAGTCATAGAAGTGTAAAACATTGATATAGCTTTGAGAGCAACTTCTTAAAGGAGAATTAGTCTTCAATCATCATGAAGAAGTTTAGTTTGACCCCACAATATAGCGTCATGAGCATGATCTACATGCCTTGTTCATATCAATTCACACATGTAATGGCATGTAGCACCCTGAAAGCAGTTCACCACTATCTAGTATATATATATGGGAGAAGGCTGTACCTATCTATTCACTATAACCTTTTATTGCTTCTTCTAACTGTGAAGTTCACAATCACACTTCCCAGCGTTTTTTCCATCTCTAGAAGCTTCCAGAATTAAATGGATGATACACTTTTCTACAGTCTGTCTAGGGCCTCATGATAACAGGCCTGTAACATTCAGATCAGGTATCTAAATGGAAATCAAACTCCCCTCTCCGACTGTCTGTTGAACACGTGCTGGCGCTGACACTGACACTGCTGGCTGGAGTTGTAAGCTCACTGGACGATGATGAGGTTGATGAGGACGCCGACGAGGACGTGGACGATGTCGACATCCATGAGCATGAGGTGGGGTCTGGGCTGAGACAGTGGCAGCCATCGATGGCACACCGACATGTGCCAGTCCGACAGGGACTCGTCGAAAGCTTCTGCTCAAAGTCTTTCAGCTGGCCCATGAAGTTGAAGTTGGGAGAGATGTTGGACTTGCGTTCCTTGACAAAGTCGTACGCGTCGTTGAGAGAGAGGCAGAGCTTCTGCATGAGGTATGCCACGGTTACAGTCACAGAACGGCTCACACCAGCCAGACAGTGGACAAGGATACCAGACTTGGCACGGCGAGCTTCGTCTGTAGACAACAGATTAGAAGAACAAATATATAAAAAGTCTGATTAGCAAACGATTTCACAATTTTAATTTAGCATCATATATCTATGTGAACATTCTTCAAAAGAATACTTTGACAAGAGTTATATTCCAACAAAATGAAAACTAGAATAACATACAAATTAATAAAAGTACCAGCTCTTATGGATAGAATGAAAGAGAAATATAGAGCTAGAAAGAGACAGAAAAGGTTATACAAATTTTTTAAAAGCAAAAAAGACTACCACATTTGTTTATTTGACATACCAGTACTGGTAAATGTTTTTTTAATTAGAAAAGAGTTGTTTTTTTACAGTGGTCACTCCTTCAAACAGGAAATGGCAGACCTCACCAAACATTTTAATATAAACAACCAACAAGGAAACACAATTATTAAGTAAACACAATTGAATTATTTAACAAACAAGAGTTCGTGATCAATAACACATCTGTTTATATATGAGGGAATGAACAACAAATTTTGGTCACCTTTTCCACACAGCTACATGCATGTACAGATAATTTAAGGAAAACGCCATGTAGACCTACTTCATGTATCTCATCAAATTTTTCAATGCAAGATCCTCCCCCTTTAGGCAATATTTCTTATAATTCCATACTACCGATCTAAAAGTTCGAGTTCACCGCTTCATGAACCAAATTTTGACCAAGGCATCCAGTAATGCTGGTAAAACCAATTTAGCCTTAATGTAAAATGGACATGTACTACTCTGAGAGAAAGGGAATGGATGAAAAAAATTCAATCTAGACTCTTCAATTGAGACTTGATTAGACACAGTACCCGGTAATTGGCACAAGTATAACAAACAAACGTAAAGCACCCTAATACACATATAGGGGCTCTCCAGTTATGGTGAAGAAAAAAAAAGAGGCGGCAACCTAGTGTCCATAAAAATGCTGGGTTGCCAAATTAGAGATGGGATCTTCCTGATTGATGATTCACCCTTTCTTCATCCATTTTCAAACAAATGTAAACATGTAATATTCCAATTAGTTCAGCTTTCAATTTCCCTCTAATTTGCGGAGAAACGACTTCCATTTGAATGTACTTTTCTAATAAGCAGACAATGGCACGGTGCGTACTGTGTAGCCCTCTCTGTATCCTCCTGTGCTTAAATTATGATTGTTTCCTTGATGCTTTAGGGATGAAATAACCACTCAAACTTTATTCATATGAGGGACAGCTTAATTGTATAGCCTTGTTTAATTTCCATTTGGAATAATCTTAAATTAAGAGTTGATCATAATCAAAATACAGGGAGTGAGATAAATGCAGTGTATTTGTAAATGCATCATCATGTTATCACACAACTGGTATAACCATACATTACACCAATCAAACTTTACATTTGGATTTTTCCATATTATAGTAATTAGAATCAAACCTGTAAAAGAATTGGATAAATCAATATCGAATTTATCGATGCTTGTTGGGAGCCAAAACCACAGGCAATTCCATCAAAATTCCATTAGTTTTCATCATTATGTGTGAAAGTGTGTCACCTAGCTAGGACGGTAATGTGTAATAAGGTGACATAGCTGAACGGCCGGCCGCAATCATTAAGAGCGCAGACTAGCTCTGATCAGCTTATTATTGCAGAAGTAATGGGATGGCAAGGACGCATCACAAGTCTAGAGGATAATAGCTCATCATTAATGGACAATAGCACATCAAGGACGACAGTGGGCGTCAAAAAGACCGCCCATGTAAACCACCTAATGAAAGTAACGCCAACAACATGATAGCAACAAGGTCCACCATGCATCCAAAGCTAAATTAATACGGGAGTAGACCCAAGCAAGGGGTCAATTGAATATTGAGTGATGAAGAATTCAAATCTTGGCATTTGTAAGTAGTCTGTATGGATTATACCACTTAAGGGTGGTGGAGTGGGTAATGTGTGTGTGTGTGTGTGTGTGTCAGGGGGGGGGGGAGATATACATGTACCATTTGCAATTTTCCAGTGGCCCTCGCCCGCCCCCCCCCCCCCACCAATATTTTCTGAGTGTCTGGTACCTAATGCCAAATAATTTCCACCACCACCATGGCCTTCAGTCACAGAGCCAGGAGGTGATGTGGATGTGGTCTGTAGAAATCAAACAAGTGTGGTGTGAAAATGGAAACGAGAGTAGGAAATGACATTGTAGAAGGCCACAAGTGCCAACAAATTGAATAGGAATATGTTGACAAGCAGGGCGAGTAGGAATTCAGACAATATCAGAATTTGTTACAATATTCTGGCATTATACTAAAAAAAAATCAACAAATGATAAACTAATTACGGTATCTATTTGTATACTAAGTCTCATTATTATCAGACAGAGGTCAATGAAGTTACCTCAGTCAGGTCACGCATCTTCAAATCGGCCTTTCAAGTTATAAACACTGGACCAAAACATGCAATGATTGAAGGGATGATAGCTAGCAAACTCTTGAATGATCTGCATGATGTGAAAGCAGTGAAATATATAATTCTCCTCTTTCAACTACATACTTCAGCTCATATCATAGATGATATGTATTCATGTAGGGCCCCTACTTCATTAAAAATCCAACAGATGAAAACTGCTTTCATTGATCAACACATGTACTAGTAGTCAACATCTTTCATGTGAGGTTGCATATATTTCTTGTGAAGAATCTTCTGTCCAGATGCTGTACATCTATTATGCATTTTTTTATATCCTACATGTAACGCGCTCCCAGAGATGATGAGAAAAACAAAAACACCCGGATATAAGGTGGGAAAGTGCGGTTTCCAACCGAGAGTGAGAGATACAAAGAGCAGGAAGTGTACAGTCTCATTCAGACATCTCTAAACAGACGAGTGTTGCTCGATCTAATGGAGGAAAAAATAATCGGGCGAAAAGGTTGCTGCCTTTCCTTGCGTTGTGTACATCAAGGTGCATGTTTGTGTGTATATGCATGCCTACATCATGATTGAGTCGTTGGGTTGGAGTTGGCGATGCTTAGTTTTGTGTGTGCCAAGTCTATGACTAATGTAGAGTACAGTTTTAGACAGGATGTGAATGCTTCCGCCATCAAGTGGCCACTTAAATACAGGTTTCGGTTACATGTAACATTCTGCGTGTGCCCCTAGCGAAGGTTGCATGTTAAGTAGCTGAACAGATGCATATCTACGGCTTGGGGAATTCTATATTCGGACAGAGTCACAGAGGGGAGTGATAGTTCTATCTTTATATCACTACAGGCTGAAATGCAAATCCCATCAATAAATGTTTTCGAGAAGTACATCCCTGAAGTACACAATCAACTTCATGATAGATTAGATGGGACATAGATCTCTGTCTTCCAACAATTTCCCATTTAATACACAGTAAATTAATATAGGAAACAATGAGAAATGTCAGAAACAAAAATGAAACAAAGGAAGGAAAGAACAATTATTTCCTTATCCATCACACTATTTAATACTCAAAACATTAGACTTTCTGTCATTTCAAAGATTAAAAAAAACAAAAAACAATTAGTCTCACTAAGGGCCTACATGTATATGCACACAAATTTCATACTTCTGTTGTAACCTACTTATTCATGTAAAATAGATTCATGATTATCAAAGCAAGGGCTATTTTGTGTTCAAATAATGTTATCATGCAACTCTCAGATAACTCAGAATGTGATTTTTGCTAATATCTATAATCAAAATTTGTCTTATCTGTCACTTCAAAGTAATAACAAAAGAGGGATATAATAATAGAAATGTAATATTCATGGAGCAGATATTACAAATATTGGAAAATGGAAACAAGCTCAAAATAGAAAAGGGCTAGACATGTACATATAGGTGATTTTCCTTCATAAAAACTTAAGCCAGCATTAATATAAAAAGGGGCCACCTAAAACACCACATTTCTGTTGATGGCCTGTAGCCTAGCATACCTTGATATGTCTTATAATGATAAATATTACAGCTTCCTACCATGTTGAATACCACAGCATCTAAATTGTCAACAATGGTGCCAAACTGCCAATATGACAAATAAAATCAATAGGAATCTATCGCCATCTAGCAACTCCCATCTATAAATTCACACCTATTATTAATCTGAACTAGAGAAGCTATTCTCATGCTGAATCCGTAATCTTATCTGTCTGGTGATGGGGGGGGGGGGGGCAATTGTTAGGGAATCTGCTCATAAATCTACATGGAAATAATATCGTCGGTGAGGAATTACTGAGAAGTTAGAAATCGCAAGGACACAGGTACACAATTCTTCCATTATACCAGGCTTATTCATGAAAATGTAGCTACGTATTGATCTGTTCTGTGGGACTATCATCTTCATTATCATACCAGTTACATGTAGTTTCATGAAAATGATATTAAATACTGTGAAAAGGTAATATTGTGAATTGTTAGTTTTTCCTTCTTTTGTGTAGTGACATTGCTTCATGTAACACTGCTCTCAAGTATGTTATTATGTGATGCATTTTCTGTGCTTTTTAACTGCAACCAATTGTTCGGTACAAATATTCAATTCTGCAAGAGACCAATAAATGCATCTGATCTTATCTTGAGTGATCACTGTTAAAATGGGCTCACTTTTCATTTACCGGGATCACAAACTCTCTTAATATTCATGCCACCCCCCCCCTCCATTGAACACTTTTTTCTTATCCAGCTGTTGAAAGTAGGCCAGTAGATATAGATATAATCTTTCAGACTGACAAAAATAGCTGTTTTGAGGGAGAAAAAAAAATGAAGGGTTGATATTGATAAGCAGTATCGCGTAGAATCTAAACAAAGTAGTATAAGAGAACGTGGGCTGAACCCTGTTTATTGCTCTATCTGCATGCTGTGGTATTGAGTCTTCAAATGATAGTTTTCTGTCCGATTAAAATGGGTGGTTTCAGACATTTCCGTTTTTACAGTTTACAAGAAGACTAGGTGAAGACATACATCATACATGAGGATTCCATCCCTGCTCAGTAAATGA